TCAGGGTAGTGTTATTACAGGGGCCTTTCAGTTACAGAGTTTTAAGAAATTGTATCACTTTGCCTGTAAAATCTTGATACCTGATTAAAATACTGTACTTCCCAAATCAAATTCAGTTCAATTACATTACTGAATCTAGATGGTAGGTAAAGAATGCTCACACACTATTATTTCAGCTTATTAGTAAATTTGAAACTTTCTATAATGAAAAGTCAAAAAGAAAGATGGGGGCAGTGGCACACACTGAGTTGTAGCTAGTCAGGAGGCTGAGGCAGGAGGATCACTTGAGCCCTGGAATTAGAATCCAACCTGGGCAACATTGTACGACCCTGTCTCTAAAAAGCAAAAAGAAGGGCCGGATGCAGTGTTTCAAGCCTGTAATCCCAGCACTTTGGGAGGCTGAGGTGGGCATATCACTTGAGGTCAGGAGTTCAAGACCAGCTTGGCTAACACGGTGAAACCCTGTCTCTACAAAAAATGCAAAAAAATTAGCTGGGTGGAGTGGTGCACACCTGTAATCCCAGCTATTAGGGAGGCTGAGGCAGAAGACTCACTAGAATCCAGGAGATGGAGGTTGCAGTGAGCCGGGATTATTCCACTGCACTCCAGTGTGGGCGACAGAGTGAGACTCCATCTCAAAATAAAAAAGCAGGCCAGGTGCAGTGGCTCACGCCTGTAATCCCAGCACTTTGGGAGGCCGAGGTGGGCAGATCACAAGGTAAGGAGATCGAGACCATCCTGGCTAACACAGTGAAACCCCATCTCTTAAGAAAAAAAAAAAAAAGCAGCAAGAAATGAATGAAAAGTTGAAACGACCCCTGACTATAGTCTAATCTGCCATCTCCATCTCAACATAGAGCCTCATGTGGAGAGGAAAAGACATTTAGAGCACTCAGAGGTGTGTTCACATTTTTTGTTGTTCCTTTCTTGTTCAGTATTTTGAGCATGTTTCAGGAAGAAGGAGGGTCCATCTTTCCTTTGCCTGTGTCGTCAGTGGCCCATAATACCTGGTATGTTGTTAGCAGCAACAACGCACATCACTAACACAAACACTGTAGCTCTTCAAGAACTTTTAAATACAACCAACACTGAGTACTGGGTGTTGTGCTAAGAGCCATGTGCGTGGTCCTTGTGGTGAAGAGGATGTTGTTGACTCATCTTTGGCCCAGACTATGCAATGTGAGCTGCATTCCAGATACAATGATGAATTCATTCATGTATTAAACACACACTGAACAAGGCATTGTACAATGATAAAGAAACGGCAGCACACCTATTCCTAGAGTTTATGAACTCCCTGGTGAGATGCGAGATACAGCTCTGTTACCAGATAAGTAGGAATGAGTGAGGTACAAAATGCTACAGGAGTCAGGATCTCCCCTAATTCATTCGTCTACCTCTGTAGGATAACAACCTGGGGTCATGGGTATGGATTGTGGCCATGGAATGAAACTAAATGAACCAGCCCACTCCATTGACCCATGACCCATGTATCAGTGACATATCACCAACCACCCCAATTGGTGATTCTGTAAAACCTCAGAAGGTTATACCAGATATCACTGGCACAGTAGCAATCTGTGTGCATTTTGAGGGGAGAGGGAGAGTGACATTACCTTATTCACTCTTGCAGCCCCTCACAGCATCACACCCATCAAGAGGATATTAAAGTAATATTTGTTTAACTAAATTGAGTTGAACCTATCTCTTTGAATCGGGTTCAGAAGATTCCCATAATGCTAAGAGCTAATGTAACATGGGGAGAGGATACAAAGGAGAGAGGGGACAGTGATATGCTGATTTCCTTCTGAACACAGGCCAAGTGGTAATCAAGTCAACTAGGGTAAGGAGGGGCTGACTTCCCAACCTTCTTCATTAAAAAGCTTGATGGGCCAGACGTGGCGGCTCACATGGCTACTGAGAGCTTGAAATGTGTCTGGTCCAAATTGAGATGGACTCTAATTGTAAAATACATGCTAGATTTTGAAGACTTAGTATTTAAAAAAAGGATGTGAAATATATCATTAATAATTTTCATATTGGCTGGGCTCTGTGGGTCACATCTGTAATCCCAGCACTTTGGGAGGCCGAGGTTGGATCACTTGAGGTCAGGCATTCGAGACAAGCCTGGCCAACATGAAGAAACCCCGTCTCTACTAAAACCACAAGAAAATTAGCCAGGTGTGGTGGCATGCACCTATAATCCCACTTATTCAGGAAGCTGAGGTAGAAGAATCACTTGAACCCAGGAGGAGGAGGTTGCAGTGAGCCGAGATCATGCCACTGCACTCCAGTCTGAGGGACAGAGCGAGACTCTGTCTCAAAAAAAAAAAAGCTCAATGGTTCTCAACTCACTACAATCCCCACCTCCAAGGTTCAAGCAATTCTCCTGCCTTAGCCTCACAAGTAGCTGAGAATACAGGCACCCACTACCACACCTATTTTTTTTTTTTTTTATAAGAGACAGGGTTTCCCCATGTTGGCCAGGCTGGTCTCGAACTGCTGACCTCGTGAGCCCCCCCCGTCTCAGTCCCACAAACTGCTGGGATTACAAGTGTGAGTCACCATGCCCAGCCAAGTCTGCATTCTTAATTACCTTAAAAATGAATGCTCTGAACATTGTGGCGTTTGAGTAAGAGACAGTAGACAACTCCATGCAAACCCTGCACTGAGATTCTAAAAGTCCCAGCAAGGACCAGTTCCAAATCCCTTTTAGGTATAAAGAGTTAGCACAATAATCATGAAACAAACACTTAGCAGAATCAAGGTGAAAAGAACTCCTAGTCTTCAAGTATAACAGTACTATCCAGCTCAATATAATGTGGGTCACAACTACAAGCCTTGTACATCATTTACAAATTCTGTTAGCTACACAAAGTAAAAGGAAGCAGGTGAAATTAAGTTCAATAATAGATTTCATTTAATGCAATATATCCAAAATACTATCATTTCAATATATAGCCAATATAACAATTATTTTTATTCTATTATTTTTTTTTTTTCTTTTTGTGGCAGGGTCTTGCTCTGTCATCCAGGCTGGAGTTCGGTGGCGTGATCACGGCTGCTACAGCCTCGACCACCTGGGCTCAATCAGTCCTCCAACCTCAGCCTCCCCACTAGCTGGGACTAAAGGTGTATACTAGCACACTCAACTCACTTTTGTATTTTTGTAGAGATGGGGTTTTGCCATGTTGCCCAGGCTGGTCTCAAACTCCGAGGCTCAAGCGATCCACCTGTCTCGGCCTCCCAAAGTGCTGGGATTACAGGTATGACCCAAAGAGCCCAGCCGATATGAAAATTATTAATGATATATTTTACATCCTTTTTTTTTTCATACTAAGTCTTCAAAATCTAGCATGTATTTTACAATTAGAGTCCATCTCAATTTGGACCAGACACATTTCAAGCTCTCAGTAGCCACGTGTGGCTGATGGCTATCGTACTGGACAGCACAGATCTAGACCTGTGATAGGAATCACCAAAAGTTCTCATTAAAAAAGCAGAATCTGAGTATTTTTCCCCAGTTTTGAGTAAGCAGGTCGGGATTGGGAGTCAGAAATACACACTTTAAACATTTGCTCAGATGATTCTTATATAGTTGATCAACAGACCACATGCTGAGAAACGATGATTTATTCTAGTTCATTGACTTGTTTGAAAGATACATGTGTGTCTCAGTCTCTCATAGTCCAGTCCAAAACCATGTTCTATAGAATTAAAGAGATAAGAGATGTTATAACTATAGAAGATACAGGGGAAAGTTGTTTTTTGTTTTCCAAAGAAGGAATGGAGAATTCCTCCCTTAGGAGGATCTTGTGGCTGGGTGCAGTGGCTCATGCCTGTAATCCCAGCACTTTGGGAGGCCCAGTTGGGGTGAATTTCCTGAGCTCAGGAGTTCAAGTTTTGCCATGTGCAACATGGCAAAACCCTGTCTCTACCAAACACACAAAAAATTAGTCAGGCATGGTGGTGTGCGCCTGTGGTCTCAGCTACTTGGAGGCTGAGGTGGGAGGATCACTTAAGCCTGGGAAGTGGAGGTTGCAGTGAGCCAAGATCACACCACTGTACTACAGCGTGGGTGACAAAGTAAGATCTCATCTCAAAAAAAAAGAAAGAAAAGAAAAGAAAAATTATTATTTTTTTTTTTTTAAAAAGAATCTTGCATAGTTTCTCATACAAATCTCCAGGAAAACATTTTCCATTTTCCTTCGGCATTTATTATTGGGTTATTTCTGCATATATTTTTTGAAAATTTAAATCAATATACTTATGAGTAATGTTCTTCTGTTTTTAAGGAGTTTTACTTCCTCAATCATCTGCAAATGTTTTAGGGGAGACTCAGTGTACTATACACTGCACTCTCAAACAGGAAGTAACTACTCTGTGACTCAGAAAATGTCACAGAACCAGACTCAAACTAGACCAGACTAATACGTTTCTTTCTGTTTGCATGCAGCAGGCTATATTAGCTAAAGCAATGGTAAGACTGCTATTGTATCCTCACATCTGCTATTTGTTTTCTCATCTCCAGTTTCAACTCAATAATAGTTAAACTCATAATAAGTGAATTTGCTTCCGTAAGTATAAAACTGTCCTTCTTGGCAGGGCACGGTGGCTCATGCCTGTAATCCCAGCATTTTGGGAGGCCAAGGAGGGTGGATCACGACGTCAGGAGTTCAAGACCAGTCTGGCCAAGATGGTGAAACCCTGTCTCTACTAAAAACACAAAAAATTAGCCGGATGTGGTGGCGGTCGCCTGTAATCCCAGCTACTCGGGAGGCTGAGGCAGAGAACTGCTTGAACCCAGGAGGTAGAGGTTGCAGTGAGCTGGGATCGTGCCACTGCCACTGCACTGCAGCCTGGGAGACAGAGTGAGACTCTGCCACACACACACACACACACACACACACACACACACACACACAAACTGTCCTTCTCAAGGGCAACAAGCAAGGGGAATGACGCTAAAAATGATGCCTTAGAGTCCTTTGTGATCTCACCTGTATCCGTCATTGAGACCCTTTTGTTCACAAGGAAATGATTTTCGAGAGAAAGTCCACGTACATCTGATTTGTGGGTAGGCTTTAAACCTGACAGAAAAACAAAACTCTTCATATTGGTCAATGTCATAATCTTCACTTGAATTGGTAGCATTTATAAATCCCTTTTCTGTAAGAAAAAATATGCATTTATTAATTAATGAGATTCATATGGAAACATATTGAGAAGATAAAATAAACTTGCATTCATCAGTTTAACACAGGAAAACTCAGGTGTTGGCATGCTGCAGGTCAGACTACTGGATAATCCAAGTGAAAACCCAGGAGTCCTATCCCTAGTTCTAAGCCTGAGCTCATCATCTTTTGAAGTAAAGAAATTTTGGAAGGAAGGAAAAAAGGAAGGAAGGAAAGAAAGAAGGAAGGAAGGAAGGAAGGAAGGAAGGAAGGAAGGAGGGAGGGAGGGAGGGAGGGAGGGAGGGAAGATGTGATGTAGATAATTGACTGTCTTCCCAGAGAAATGTATAAATAAATCTTCAGATTTTGCAGACAATTTCCAAAGTTTGAAAGGATCCCCCACGCCCGTGTACACACTAGGGGTCTCCTAACAGAGTCTGGAAGCCCCTGCTCTCAGACAGCACCATTCTCTTATCGATGAAAGAGAGTAAAATAAACTCAAGGCACAAATAAAAGAGCAATCTGGCTAGCAATATTCACAAGGTTGTCTTATGGAACACTTCCTTATTAATTTGCTAAGAGCATCACTGCATTTCTTTGCATTTTCATTATGGCTGTAACCTAATCTGAGATTACTGAATTGTGGTTATTTTCAGATCCTACATAGCCCACCAAAATGTCAACGCATCTAAGGGCTTGTACTGTCTCTCAGTGCTCACTGCCCTAACGGTGCATTTAGTTGGTCCTTAAAACTAGTATTTATTGCCTATTTTGTGTCAGGCTCTGTGTCAGTTTCTGGGACTACAAGGATAGAATGAATTGTCCTTGTCCTTAGGAAACTTATAGTCTACCGGAGGATAAAAGTACACAAACAGATGGTCACATTATAATGTGTCGTGTGCAAAGACAGTGGCATTCAAGCGGGCCTGGTTTAACAGGAAAAGGTAAAGGGTGGGCAGATTATCTTGCAAAGCCTTTCTAACTGCTTTTTTCTCAGTGTTTGATAGTAGCATTATACTGAAATCGGAGTTTGTGTCACATACCTCACATTCCACACTAAAGCAACTAAAAATAGGAATAAAGATTGTGTGAGCAGCCTGCACTACCTACGATGGTAACCAAAGCTGATTGACTGGGATGTTTTGAAGAGGAGCAAGTGTAGTATCCAGTGTCGTTTCTTCCCACTGATGATACAAAAGCAAACAGAATCCGTATCATAGTTCTGTTTGTTGAATAGGTACTCATCTCAAAGTAGCTGCCCTAGGTTGTAATAAAACAAGAGTTTGCATTTAATGTTTTCAACCCGGATTATTAGTTAATTGTTCCTGCATTTTCAGAATACAAACTTGTCCTATTACCTCCTGGAGTGCTTTGTTTTCTAGTTCCCAGGTGAGCCCGAATTCATAATTCACATGAACAGCTTTGCACCTTATCCATAAGGGTTCCCCCACTTTAAGAAATAACTGTGGCAATGTGGTCTGAGGAGTTTGATTTAGATCTAGGAGATGAAAACATCCCAAATGAGAAAAAAAAAAAGTGATTTTTGCCTCAACACAAAAGATATCCCAAACATTCTGAACAAAGACTTTAGCATCGTCTCAAATATTACTAAACACATTAATAAAAGAAGGTTTTAGAGACTGACTCCTCTTTTATGAAGAAATCAGCATTTACAGAAACCATAATATTGCATTTACTGTGGCCTAAAGGAACGACAGGATTTCTGAAGGAATGATCACCTATGCAGTTACTGTTAGTCCCTGGTAATCGCTAAGAAATAGTCACCGAAAGTGAAAGTATGTGATATTACAGTGTTACCTATTGTGAACAGCCTGGTGCATTCCCTGCCCAATTCATTTCTTGCACAGCACCTTATGTCCGTCCCAAATAATTCATGAAGCACTTTTTCCTCCTTTTTAACAACAGCTGGACTTTCTTCTTTACAGCTACAATTAGAAAATAAGTACCATTTGGCTAAGCAAGTTTTAAAATTACAAAAGAACACTCAAGAGGAGAACAAAGTTCTAGAGCCAGTTTAAGGGTCAAATGGTAAATAAAAGGTCAAAAGGTAAACAATCCCAAATCTATGGTTTCAGCCAAGAGCTCATAAAAGAGCTAGCTAGTTACTCATTATCTCAATGAATTAGAATAACACTAAGGAGAATTACATAATAAAACAGTTTTAAATTGTCCATGTTTGGTGATCTCTTTGCTGCTGTGGTTTAAAGACGGGGAAAGAAAGAAAAAATGAGAAAGAAGATAAAGGAAAAAAAGAGAAGAAAGAAGAGAAAAATTGGGCATTCGTGCAGTTTAGCAAGGTAAGCATCCTTTTCTTCACAGCACTGAAGAGGACGCAGTTAAGAGGGAGGGAAGCTAAAGTCGCAAAAGTCACCCGAGTTCCCATAGGAACAGAGGAGGAAAGCCGAGGTGTCACCCACGAGGGAAGTTAGCCGAGACTCCCAAGTAGTCAACAGAGTAAAACCCCTCTCCCTGCCTCAGAGAAAGCGGATGTTGGTACCACTTTGGAACAAAGTATTTGTTATTTTTTCTCCTGCTATTTGGTCCCTTTTTTTTTTTAAAGTTGTTTAGTACATTTTAATTAGTTCAAACTGCATGAATTTTTATTTTGTGAGAACTCAGCTTTGGCATATATGAAAAACTACGTAAACGTTTATACCATACTTACTATCTGCCACACACTGTTCTATGTGCTTTCCATATATCAATTCATTTCATCATCATAGCAATCCTATAAGTGCTTGTCATCCCCTTTCTTCTGATAAGGCACAAGAGGTTAAGTATCTTGTCCACGGCCACACAGCTGCTAAGCAAACTAGGGTTCAAACCCAGGCTATTTGACTCTAGATTCTATATCTTTAAACAATGATATTAGACTGCTTTTCCAGAACAAACAGGATAATCACAAATTAAACAATTAGTCACAAGGAATTTCTTATAAGAGAATTATACTTTAAATCAGTCTATTTCTTTTTTCCCCAATCAGATGCCCAGGGAGCCAACAACCTGGAACATGAAGGGGCTTTGACTTGTGTAGCACCATGCCCACAAGGAAGGGCCCTGCAGTTGATTTGAGGGATTCCAAAAAGCCCCTTACCAAAAAAAATTCTCCCTCATCCTCCCGGTGAAGCCCACACTGACAATTCTGTTTTGTTTATTTATTTATTTATTTATTTATTTATTATTTTTTGAGATGCAGTCTTACTCTGTAGCCCAGGCTGGAGTGCAGTGGCGCCATCTCTGCTCACTGCAAACTCCACCTCTCATGTTCAAGCAATTCTCCTGCCTCAGCCTCCTGAGTAGCTGGGATTACAGGCGCCCATCATCACACCTGGTTAATTTTTGTATTTTTAGTAGAGACAGGGTTTTACCATGTTGGTCAGGCTGGTCTCAAACTCCTGACCTCAAGTGATCCGCCCGCCTCGGCCTCCCAAAATGCTGGGATTACAGGGGTGAGCCACCTCACCCAGGCGCATATTGATCATTCTTTAACCTTAAGAAGCCAAAGTTTCCTGTTTTAATGAGCATAAATTAAATTTTCCATACAGCTTGATGTCAACTACATTAGAAAAAGGCCAAAAGGAAATCATGAGAATAGCAGCTACCATGGACGTGTCATACCTTTCCCCCTGTGAGTCGCAAAGCACCCATTCCACGATCGGCTCTGGAACGCTCTCAGATATGCAGACCAGGGCGTCCTGGTTCTCCATTTTTCTAAAGTAAGGTCTTCTTAATGTGTAAAGCAGAGTATCTAAAGTATCATAAGTTATTAACATTTTACTATTTTAAAAATAATTTTCTTAGCAGCCCCCTCAAGAAAGGATTCTATGTCATTAAGAAAAGTTCATATTTTATACGATAGCAGTGTCTTCTGCATTTCCACCAACCATTACATATTTATTTATTTGTTTATTTTATATTAAAGGCATCAAAAGAAAACCAACCATTATATTAAATTTAGCTTTGGCTGCAGTGTCAACTTCAACATTTATCCTCTTGGCTGATTTCTTTCGGTATTTCACAGATCCACAGCTAACTAAAGCAGTCGAGTGAAGCCACGTGAAAATACAAATATTGCTATGCACAGGAAAAAGGAAACTAGAGATAACATATGGCTTAAACCCTCGTTTAATACGTAGTTTAAACCTCAACTTTCTTCCTATAATTTTATCTGCAACTAGGCAGAAATATACTAACATTTAGAAAGGCAGAAGAAACATGGTAGGGTGGAGTTAGAATTGCAACGGAACTTAAAGGTTTAGTTGAGCCTCCCACTCACACTGGACCATGACACACACACACACACACACACACACACACACACACCATCCTTCACTCCCAGCTATGCCTAACATAAACTTCGTACTTCTGCTTTGACTCCACTAGGGACTGGAGTTCATGACCTCCCACGGCAGGTCATTCTAATTTTTAACAAACTTTTTTTTTCTTAGAGTTTCCCTATACTTTATTTAAGTTTCCCTATACTGAACTCCAGCCTCTCTCCTTACAGTAAATTTTGTTTGAAAATATTATGTATTGCTTTATACATATATATGCATATATATGAAAGACCATATGGAGTGTAAATTTCAAAGCATAATAACAAATACCCATGGAGCCACTATCCAACTTAATAGCTAGAATATTAATAAATACCTTTTAATCTACTTTTGTGCTTCCCCCATCTCACAACTGTAAGTAGCCTTTATCCTGAATTTTGCTTATTATTCAGGGACTCTTCAAAGTACTTTTACCACATAAATATGTGGCACTAAAGATATATTGATTTATTTCGTTCTTGAGCTTCAAAATCGAGTTATCAATCAGTATGTAGCTTCCACAACTTCATTTTTTCATCCAACCTTATGTTTTTAAGATTCATCCATGGTTTTACATGTAGCTTTACTTTATTCTTCTTTTTTTACTGCTAAATAATATTCTACTGGTAAATATATTATTATTTTTTTCATTTTCTTGCAGTAGACACTTGGGTTGTTTCCTTTTCTTTTTTTCTTTTTTGTGAGATAGGGTCTCTGATACCCAGGCTGGAGTGCAGTAGTGCAATCTCAGCTCACTACAGCCTCAGCCTCCCAGGCTCAAGTGATCCTCCTGCCTTGGCCTCCCAAAGTGCTTGGATTACAGGTATGAGCCACCATACCCAGCCATAGTTTTTTTGTGTGATTAACCATGTGCTCTGAACATTCCACACATTTGTACTGAGGCACATGTATAACACTCTTAATAACATGCCTAAGAGTGGAATCGCTGGTCTGCATGGTATGAGCACATTCAGCCTTACACATAATGACCATTTGTTTTCCAAAGTGGTTATACTAATTTACGTTACACAGCAGGATATGAGAGCACCTATTGCTTTATATTCTTACCAAGGCTTCTTAATTTTCAATAGTCTAGCAGGTATAAAATGGTATTTCATTGAGGTGTTAATTTCTCCATTATTAATTTGACATGTGTTAAAATAATTAATTGGGAGGCCATCAGGCTGAGAAAGCTCTAACAAGTTGAGTTACCATGTAAAAAAAAAAAAAAAAAAAAAAAAAAAAAAAAAAAAAAAAAAAAAAAAAAAAAAAAAACAGAAAAATAAAGGCTGGGTATGGTGGCTCACACCTAGAATTCCAACACTTTGGGTGGGTGAAGCAGGAGGATTGCTTGAGCCCAGGAGTTCAAGACTAGCCTAGTAACATGCCGAAACCTCATCTCTACAAAAAAATAACAGGCCGGGCATGATGGCTCATGCCTGTAATCCCAGCTCTTTGGGAGGACGACACAGGCAAATCACTTGAGGTCGGGAGTTCGAGATCAGCCTGGCCAACATGGTGAAACCCTGTGTCTATTAAAAACACAAAAATTAGCCAGCCGTGGTGGCAGGCACTTGTAATCCCAGTTTATTCAGGAGTCTGAGGCAGGAGAATTGCTTGAACCCAGGAGGCGGAGGTTGCAGTGAGCCCAGATCACACCACTGCACTCCAGCTTGGATGACAAGAGCAAGACTCCGTCTCAAAACAAAAGCAAAAACAAAAAGAAAACAAACAAACAAAAAACAACAAAAAGCAAAAAGCAAACCCAATTCAATATGAGCAGCAAAATGCAACTTAGCTTAACCAATCAGAAACTACAAACTGACCAAATGAGGGACTGTCCACTTTAACCAATCAAATGTTTTCTTTGTCTTGCTTCTGGGAACACCTTATAGAAAGAGGTCTTACCCTTGAATCCCCTCACGGGAGCCCGACTACTTTCTATCTGGCACTGCCTGATTCATGAATCACATCCTGCTCAAATAGACTCTTTACAACTCTAACGTGTCTAAGTATACATTTTAACACGTTTCTTGACCATTTAGGTTTCATGTTCCAAAAATGAAATGCCTACTCACCTGCTTTGTTCATTTTTCTACTAGGTTTTCATTTTGTTCTGTTTTTCTTATTGACTCATAGAAGCTCTTTACATATTATAACTATTAATCCTTTGTTGACTGTGAACTGCAAGTATCTTTTTCCATCTTGTAGTGGTTTTCACTTTTTCTCTCTGTAATGTCTAACCATTGGTTCTTATCCTACCCTCCAGAGCAACGTTTTTTAAGTCTAGCTTTGATTCCATATCAAAATCCTTCAAATGTTTAAAAATCAGAAACTGAGATCAAGGGAGATAATTACCATACAAGGCACTTAAACTAGTTAACTCGGGTTTCCTGACTCAAATCCCGAAAGAATTCCCTCTGCATTACACCACAATCAGTCTTATTGTCTCCCCAAAATATGTCCTTCTATATGCTAAACATCCCCATTCCTTCAGCTGCTCCTAATTTAAAGAATTCCAAGTTTTCCACTATCCTGCTTGCTCCATTTTATCAGTATCTATCTGAAAAAAAAAAAAAAATGTAGAACTGAAATGAATCATCTTCTATTAATTTCCTTAGTTTAGACGTTATATTTTCATGAACACTGCCAAGGTTCAAATTTACGTTTTTAGCAACCCTGCCACTCTGGTGGTTAAAGTGAGCTTGTGGTTGACTAAAACCCGTTCCTCTTTTTCACACTGACTGTTGCCAAGTCTCTCCCACCTACTTTTTTGGACCCCACCACCTTGCAGAATGCTAAAAACAAGTTGTAATTTACTTGAATAATTGTTACTATATTTTTACATTGTAAATCTTAAGTGAAAGGAATATATCCTAAATATAACAAAGACACAGCAGATGCCCACTTACCTTATACAAGTATTTGTACTTGGCAAGAAAATTTAAAAAGGAGAGGAAAAAAAAAAAAAAAAAACCCAACTGAATGAAAAACGCAGTTTCTTTTAGAAAACCAGCAACAACAATGAGAATGGCTTCTCAACAAGATGGAAAACAAGGGCAACATAAAAAAAAAAAAAAAAAAAAAAACGAGATCATAAAAAAAAAAAAAAAAAAAAAAAAAAAAAAAAAAAAAAAAAAAAAAAAAAAAAAAAAAACAAGAAAGAGGAAGAGAGGGAGAGAGCAAGAAATGTTTTAGCTTCTTCCAACCTGAAGCACATATTTACTGTCCCACAGAGGCGGTGAGGGACTAGAAAGGGGGCAGGGAACAGGACCAACATCAGAGAGCAACAAAAGGCGATTCTTGGTTTTGGAGCTGGTAGAGCTCTGGTTCTGTGATCTTCAGAGTAATTAAAGGACTTTCCAGAACAAATTTTGAGTCATTTTGACTTTAGCTAATTTATATCTTACAGGCTGACTTTAGAACCTTACTCTACCCCCAACCCCAGTAAGATGACGCTTCTGCGAATTCTCTCTTCTGACAGTAAGACTCACAGGCTCTCACACAAGACCCAGGGCAGTGTGGTGCAGAAAGCCTCCAGCTGTGCCCTCCGCCACACCTCTCAGAGGGCCTGTTTTCTCACCTACATGCATACCGGATTGCTGTGAGCCTCTGAGATGATACAGGCAGAAGCTCTTCAGCAAAGGGCAGTTGTGGTTATTCCTGACCCAGGGCACCTCTTTGGGCCGGACACGCATGCTTTGTGCATTTCAGTCACTGACAAGGAAGAGGGGAGCCTGGCAAGTTGTGTCAATGTGTGGGAGGGAACCTAATTTTAAGTGGCATTAACTCAGGGTTTTTGGAGCACTGCACTGGCTCCCAAAGGCACAAGGACCTAAGTGAATGCAGCCACCTTCAGTCCTTCTTGGTCACAGATGGTGAAGCAGCACGTTCAGTGCGCACAGCACTGAGTCTATGCAGGATGGGGACAAAACAAGGAGAAGCCACAAGGCACTTGCAGGGGGTGGCTCTGCCAGCTGCACAGCTGCCTCCCTTGGTGGGAACATTTGGACTGTTCCTTACAGTTTGCATATGGTCTGGCACACGCATGGACCTGCACCGTTCAACACAGTAGCCGCTAGCTGCATGGGGCTATTTAAATTCCAATTTTAATGAATTAAAATTAAATGCAATTAAAACTTTAGTTCCTGGCCGGGCGCGGTGGCTCAAGCCTGTAATCCCAGGACTTTGGGAGGCCGAGGTGGGTGGATCACGAGGCCAAGAGATCGAGACCATCCTGGTCAACATGGTGAAACCCCGTCTCTACTAAAAATACAAAAAATTAGCTGGGCATAGTGGTGCGTGCCTGTAATCCCAGCTACTCAGGAGGCTGAGGCAGGAGAATTGCCTGAACCCAGGAGGCGGAGGTTGTGGTGAGCCGAGATCGCGCCATTGCACTCCAGCCTGGGTAACATGAGTGAAACTCCGTCTCAAAAAAACAAAACAAAACAAAACTTTAGTTCCTCAGTCACCTTAGCAACATTTCGAGTGTTCAACAGCCCCACGTGGCCAATGGCTGCTATACTGGAAAGAGCAGACAAAGATCATTTTCATCATCTCAGAAAGTTCTGCTGGATCATGCTGAGACCTTTCAATCCTGTGAGGTATGTTTTTGTTGTTTTTTTTTTTAAGATGGGGTTTCACCATGTTGGTCAGGCTGGTCTTGAACTCCCAACCTCAGGTGATCCACCCACCTTGGCCTCCAAAGTGCTTGGATTACAGGCGTGAGCCACCACGCCCGGCCTGAGGTATGTATTTTTATCCTCATTTTATCGATAAGGAAATTGGGGCTCAGAGAAATTGTGAGCTGCCATAGGTGGTAGTATCAGAACTAGAATTAGAACCCAGGTCTTCTGATTCCAAGGTCAAAATGTTTTACATTTCTTCCCTGTCAGCCATCTGCTACTGAACAGAGGGTGTCCCACGTGTTTTTAACAGCAGGCACATTCTGAGAGTCCACGGCACACATCAGTGATTCATCGGTGATTCTCAGTTCTCTATAGGTTATACAGATGGTTGATGGGAATCTAATCAATCCAACTAGGTATCGAAGGAAACCTGAAGAATGAGTCTAGAGGAGCCAGTCAACCTGAGTTCTAAACCACCCCTTTGAAATACTGTGGTATCCCAGGCTGAAATACTAGTAGCAGGCTGGACTTACTTCTTATACTCACTGTAAACAATATTGTGTAATTGGTAGCTTCACTCTGAATAAAAAGTAGGTATTCTCCAGCTTGGGTTTCTGTCATTTTCAAAATGACCATGGAAACAACTCCTCTGCAAGACAGGAAAGGGAACTAGTTATTTTGGAAAGTGTGTGAAACTAAAAACAAAATTTCATAGTGACTAAGAAGGCAGCTTGGTAGCTGTAGCATTCCTCGACTGGCACGGAGGCACACAGCTCTGTCATGTGCCCAGCACTCAGCCTGGACATTGCTCGTTGGACCTTGACTTTTAACCTGTCATCCTTGAGGATGGGAGAGCTCCATTACTGTGCCATCATCTCACCTTCCTTGAGCTTCTAGGAGGGAAAACTCCCGTCTAAAAATGCGCAGTAAGCCGGGTGCGGTGGCTCACGACTGTGATCCCACAACTCTGGGAGGCCGAGGCGGGCAGATCACCTGAGGTCAGGAGTTTGACACTAGCCTGGCCAACATGCTGAAACTCCATCTCTACTAAAAATACAAAAATTAGTCCGAGCATGGTGGCTCACGCCTGTAATCCCAGCACTTTGGGAGGCCAAGGTGGGCAGATCACGAGGTCAACAGTTCGAGACCAGCCTGACCAACATGGTGAAACCCCATCTCTACTAAAAACACAAAAATTAGCCAGGCATGGTGGCATATACATGTAATCCCAGCCACTCAGGAGGCTGAGGCAGGAGTATCACTTGAACCCAGGAGGCGGAGGTTGCAGTAAGCCCAGATTGCACCACTGCACTCCAGCCTGCACCACTGCACTCCAGCCTGCACAATAAGATTAAAACTGTATGTCAAAAAAAAAAAAAAAAAAAAACCAAAAAAACAACAAAAAAATAAACAGTAAACCGAGAGCAGTGGCTCACACATGTAATCCCAGAACTTTGGGAGGCTGAGGCTGGCGGATCATTTGAGCCCAGGAGTTCAAGACCAGCCTGGGCAACATAGTGAGACCCTACCTCTATTTTTTAAAAATTAAAACACACACACACACACACACACACACACACACACACAGCATTGGTGATATAGTCCCTTTGGCAGTGGCATGCCATTTCCTTCCAAGACAAAGCACCCTCTGTGATCACATGTGTCCAGTCACCCGGTCACCAGCCTCAGTTTCCCATTCACAGAACGCTGAGATTTTTTTTAATGTTCTCCTAGTTTGTGCCTTTCTCTGTCTAAATGAAAGAACTCAAACAAAATCTGACAAAAGTCATGTTCTTACGGAGTGATAATTACACTGAATATCACTTAGATGTATGGAGAAAGATGTCTCAGTGTCAGGATTTTTAACTTGATAATTGGTGAAGATAAATTGGGTTAAGGGCATTCTCTTCCGAGAGATACCTATGATGTGTATTTAGTACTATCTTCTCTCTTTAAAGCAGACAGTACTCCCAGCACTTTGTTGAGTGATGCTGGATTTAAATTCACACTTTCTGACCTTTAGACCCTTAACTGTGCAAAGTGTAGTCTTTCACCAACAGTGTTAGCATCAGCAGGGAGTTGACAACGATGCAGAATCTCAGGCCCCACTCAGACCTACTCATCAGGATCTGCATTTTAAACCATATCCCTAGGCAATCCAAATGCACGTTATATTTGAGAAGCCCTGCTTTAAAGCAGCAAACAGGTCCAAGAGTACATGGGCCTGCATTCATACACACAGTAATTACTAGGATATATACTTGATTTGCTTCTGAGATCTATTTGGATGATATGCTTTCTTTCTCTGAACTAGTCGTCTGGAGTGAGCCACCACACCTGCAGTCGAAACACTTTGGGAGGCAAGGTGGGAGGATTGCTTGAGGCCGTGAGTCCAAGACTGACCCGGGCAGCATATTGAGACACCTTTCCAAAAAAATGAAAAAATGTGGCTGTCATGGTGGCTCATGCCCGTAATCCCAGCACTTTGGTAGCCAAAAAACAAGAATTAATACAATCTCAAAAGAGGAGAGGAAAATGAATGTGTTCCAAGATTTAGAACTAAACTTCAGAACTATACTCACTGTCCTGCTAAGAGTGTATTTGACCTTAAAATACATAACTGATTCAAGTCGATCATAGAGACATTCTCCAAGACCCTATCAAGGTGTTTACTTCATAGTTGCTGGAAAGCTCATGCCTTTTCTACACCTATGGGACAACAGAATGGCCGCAAGAATTTAAAAGAAAGACTGCGTGAAGAGGGCATTTAATTGACCTATGTCCTTTGCCCTATCTGGTTTCAGCAAGATGACAAGAACAGTAGTGGGCAGCAATCAGCATAGAGTTATACAGAGTTCGGACATTATCCACACATCTTAGCTAAGACATTTTTCTGGATGAGACCAATGTTCCTCACAGACAGATCAATGTCTTATTAAATATTCTGTAGATGGCACATAACATTGCAGTTCTGCTTATCATATGGCGAAACAAAATCGATAAAATCAAATGTTCTTTTCCCAAGCATTTCCCAAAAAGAAATTAAAAAAAAAATTTTTAAAGAAATTTCTTGCTACACTAACAAGAATGAAATAAAAACTTTCTAACTTTGTATCTTTAACATGATATCCAACTAAAAAACAAGACACTTAAAAAAATCCCAAATAGGCCTGACCTTGTGGCTCACACCTGTAATTCCAGCACTTTGGGAGGCTGAGGCGGGTGGATCACCTGAGGTTTGGAGTTTGAGACAAGACTGGCCAACATGGTGAAACTCCATCTCTACTAAAAATAAAATATAATTAAAAATTAATCAGGCATGGTGGTGAGTGCCTATAATCCCCGCTACTCAGGAGGCTGAGGCATGAGAATCACTTGAACCTGAAAGGCAGAGATTGCAGTGAGCTGAGATCCTGCCACTGCACTCCAGCCTGGGCAGCAGAGCAGGACTCCATCTCAAAACAAAACAAAACATAAAAGCCCAAATATAGTCCTTCATTGTAAAAAAGGTAAAAAGATTTAAAGAAAAAAGAAAATTCCAAAATTCTATTTTCAATATTTGTTTTACATTTTGCCAGCCACTCACCGCTTTCTATATACTTATATGCGTGTGTGTGTGTGTGTGTGTGTGTGTGTGTGTGTGTGTGTGTAGGTTTAAATTAATAGCCTTTACTTTTTTCTTTTTTCTCCTTTTTTTGTCTTGTCTTGTCTCCCAGGTTGGAGTACAATGGTGCGATCTTGGCTCACTGCAATCTCTGCCTCCTGACTTCAAGCAATTCTCCTGCTTCAGCCTCCCAAGTAGCTGGGATTACAGGCACACACCATCCCACCTGGCTAATTTTTGTATTTTTAGTAGAGACAGGGTTTCACCGTGTTGACCAGGCTCATCTGAAACTCCTGACCTCAGGTGATCCACCACTTTGGTCTCCCAAAATGCTGGGATAACAGGCATGAGCCACTGCACCCGGCTGACTTTACTTTTTAGAGCAGTTTTAGATTTACAGGAAAATTGAGCAGGAGACACAGAAAGATGCCATATATGCCCTTCCCACCACACACAGTTTCCCTTATTATTAACATCTTGCACAGGTGTAAAATGTTTGTTACAATTGATGAACCGATTTTAAAGTTTGGTTTGGGCCGGGAGCGGGAGCAGAGGCTCATGCCTGTAATCTTAGCACTTTGGGAGGTTGAGGTGGGAGGATCACCTGAGGTCAGGAGTTTGAGACCAGCCTGGCCAACATGGAGGAAGCCCATCTCTACTAAAAATACAAAAATTAGCTGGGTGTGGTGGCACACACCTGTAATCCCAGCTACTTAGGAGGCTGAGACAGAAGAATAGCTTGAACCTGGGGAGCAGAAGTTGGAGTGAGTCAAAATCACGCCACTGCACTCCAGCCTGGGTGACAGAATGAGATTCCGTCTCAAAAATAAAATAAAATAAAGTTCATAGTTCGCATTTTTTTGTGTGTGTTGTACATCCTATGGGATTTGACAGATACATAATGTCATGTATTGATGGCTTAACTATATTTTTAGTTTGTTATTTCTCTGAAGATAAGAGTGACAAAAAACAGGCCCAGGCCAGGAGCTGTGACTCACGCCTGTAATCCTGACACTTTTGAAGGCCAAGGTGAGTGGATCACTTAAGCCCAGGAGTTTAAGATCAGCCTTGGCAACATAGTGAAACACGGTCTCTACAAAAAATTTTAAGAATTAGCCAGGTGCGGGCCGGGCGCGGTGGCTCAAGCCTGTAATCCCAGCACTTTGGGAGGCCGAGGCGGGTGGATCACGAGGTCAAGAGATCGAGACCATCCTGGTCAACATGG